ACAGTTTCACATTGCACCATCGCATTTGGCAATGAGATGAAAATAATAGAGCATGTGGCTGGTTGAAAATGCGCCTGGTATTTGTAACAGATTTGGTCGACAATTAGTGGACAACTCACTCAGATTCTGACGTGTGAATAAAAGATGCAGGAAATATTGACTGGCCCCTTTTCTGTTCACAATTATCTGTCAGTCTGAACAAACTAGAATAAACAAAATTTGGATTAAATGTACATTCAATATTTCTTGGTCACTACTTAGGAGTTTCTTCATTGTGCTCCCAGGTGTGTTGGATCCTACCAGAATAATATTGTGTTGCAAATCACTAATCCGTCGAAAAGAAAGGAAAGTTCATGCTTGCCGGCAGATTCGAGGCGCCCTTTTGGAACACCGATATGAGTATTTCTAATCAAAAATTCAAAAATGCAAATCCAGTATTCATTCGCTATTGACTTGAGATTTTACGAATCCTGTCTTGACACTGGGTCTGGGAGAATGACTGATAAAGCACCCCAGAAACATTGAAGCACACGTCACGCAGTGTAAGGCCCAGAACTGGTAATACTTGTCAGACCGCTATGCGACAGGCTCTTGTCCGGCATCGCTCATTACTTCCTTGTCGACTACCGCAGTGTTGAAATTATCGCATCAAAAAAAGCCATCGTTCAAGAACTGATTCCTGACATCGGAAAGAAATTTTGCAGGTCGCGCATTTTCATGGCCCAACAGTTTTACACTATTAACATCATGCAAACACACATGCATGATAATGAAATATCCATGCACATTCTCACAGACCGACCGTATAGAATATGGCGGCACGGTTTTGCCAATCGCCGCCGCGATATTCTGCCGTATTCGCTGCGCGACTGTGAAGTCCTGCCACTTGGGCGTCGATGATTCTCAGGCCCCTTTCCTCCAACCCAACGACCTCCGGCACGCAGGACACCGCGATGTCCATACCCGAGGTCGCCAAGAGCTTCAAGGCACCTTCCGCTGGGCTCATACAGGGCATCGGTCCCACTGCCACCGCCACCGACCTGGTCGTCAAGTACCTGAGGAAAAAGCACGCCTACCTCATGAACAACACGCAGCTCGTCCTCACCATCTGCCTCACCCTTGCGCTGTGCGCCGGCGCGTTCTACTGGAGGTTCCAGATGTGGGCGCACACCCCGGAGCAGGAGCTCATGGGCTGGGGACTGCCCATCGCCAAGGGCTGCGGACAGGCCATGAAAGTGGCCTTCTCGCTCATACTGCTGCCAGTTTCTCGGAACGCCATCACGCGCGCCAGGTGAGGAGGACAGATTTTCTCTGTTCAAATTGGTTTCGGAGGCAAAGATGGGAACTTGCGCCTTGCAGGTGATGACGGGCGTGTGCACATGCGAAAACTCTTGCATCCCTCCATCCGCTCGTCACCCTTCTGAAATGCAGGCGGACGGTGTTGAAATACAAAAGGAAAAGGAGTCCTAAAAAGTTAGTTCAGTTGAAGTCAAGGGTATCTGTCAATGACGAGGAGGTGTGGAGGTGGGGGGGCTGAGTGCGTGCGCCTTGAGCGCCTTGCTGGGCTGTGATTGCAAACGGCTACGAAATTCATTCTTATTTCAACCAACATACTAATGGGCTTAAAAATGTGAACTGTTGTAAATGATGGACGCGATTTTTAGGATGAAATGGATAAATTGAATCACATGTGAACGCAGTGCCGAAGCGTCACGATTGTGCCTGATTTGCAGCCTTCTCATTATGTTTATGGCACCGATTTAAAGATTTGACGCACAAAAACGAGTAAACAGAGGAGCACCCATTTCTACGGGGTTAATTACGCATTTTTACTGCGCACCCACACAATATGGCTCCATTGTGAAGTGGATATTAGCGGTAAGTCCCCCGTCGCCTCGAGCACCCGCAGCACAGCGCCCCCCTCGCCCGCAGCAAGGACAAGAATGCAATCGAACAAAACTAATTCTATCCAATGCCACTTACGGCCTCGTCGTCTGTATGTACTAGATCTATATACACAGGGTCCATATTTACGAATTTTTATTCGCTTTTACGCACAAAGACGTCAAAACTCCCTTTTGCGCGAAAATAACGCAAATGGTGCTTGAGCATTTGAGTGGTGTGTTTGAGCAGCAAAAGCAATCCTGACGACTCACATCAGAGCTTGCTGAATCTCGCTGTATTTACTTTTATTCAGCGCGAAACAGCACAGGCGCAACGCTCCGCGTTTCCCCGTGTGCCCAGGAACACGTGGCTGAGGAACATCTTCCCGTTCGACGATGTCATTTACTACCACAAGTTCCTGGGAATAATCGGCTTCGTCTTCGCGACGGTGCACCTGGTTGCCCACAACGTGGACATCTACAGAGCCCACCACCCCGAAAACGAAGAACGGTGGGCCCACACGTTTCCGGACACCCCCGAGCAGCCCAGTTATGCGGAGGTGTACACGGAGCAGGTGGCGTGAATCCTTGAAACAAACGTAATCAAAACAATGGATTACGTTCAGCCAAATCCACTTGCCAAGTGGTAGGCGAATCTTTCAGACCACGCCTTCAGGATAAAATGGTACAATAACGTACTGAAAAGTCCTGGCCATTAGTCCATTTTCGACCTGAAAGTTATTTCGGGCGTGTGTCAGCTCGCGGTGAAAGCTTTTGATGCATAGCGCCTGATCGTGTGAGCGCAAGTTTGGCTCCACCCGCGGATTGCGGTAGACAGCAGTTCACCACATTTTGGCAATATCGCTTGATTACCCTGGATTGCATTGTGACAATCCAGGAATTGTTGATATGCAATGAAATTATTTGATTGTGAAATGAACAATGTCAATATTATTGTATGCACGAGCGCCAGGGCATTACGCATAATGGTGTGTGGCGAAATTCATTTCGCTTTTCACATCTTGTGACTTCCCCTCCTCAAGTCTTCCCCCACTGCAAAAAATTGAGAAACTGCGCACAGAGAAATATGCCTCATGCACAAGCAGACAAGCAGACACTAAATCCTAGCCTCCATACGCTAGAACCTTTGAACAAAAACAATCGTGCAACCTTCTTGACCATTGTTGTCTAAAAGAAGGGTATCATGAGTATGCTACACAGGCATGGACAAGATTTCCGTAGATTTATTAAGTCGAACCTCAATGTGGCTGGAATGGTTGAGCCTCAGTTTGGAATATGTATTCCCTGCGCTGAGCGTGGGCCAGGCTGAACCTGAATTTGAACTGGTCTAACCTATTTTTCTAAAAAAATATACAAAACAGAATTTGTGGAAAAAATAAAGGTACTGAGCACAGAGCTGCGTAAATGATCTTCCGAAAGGGTGCTTACAAGGGAGAGACAACTGAACTGAGCAGTGTATTGCGTTTGACGCAATGCAATCCACACTGCACAACGCAAAAGCTTTCAGAGTGTACAGAAGTAATGGAAGTGCCTTCACCACCATCAACATCAAGCCTTCGCCTCCCGCTATTTGATGAGACCCAAACACGTCATACGTTAGGACTCTTCAGTACTATGCATCATTTCAAACAAGGAAAACTCACAAATTCCTATTTCACAATCATGTTTTTCTTTTCACTCAATGGCATTAGCCACGGCTGGTACCAGGCAAAGAAAACGTTACTTGCATATTATTAAACCTTCGATTCTTAGAGTAGTTGGCAAACCACTAATGTTGGAACAATTGCAATTCAGTTGTCCAGCATCGATCTCCCGCACAGATAATGCCATCCCGCCATGGATCCTCGTCCCTAATCAATGTTGAAGGCTTGCTGTTTGAGATAGAAGGGTTTATATTGAGAGAAAATAATTGAATTTTAGTCAAAGTTTCATAGGAAAACGTCTGCATTCCCTCTATTGGAGACCTGCACTTCAATCAGTACAGATTAAATCAGCAATGTATTACGTTGCTGGAATCCATGCCATCTTGAAGAAAAGTCCCCTGATATTTTCAGAAACCATGCACCGACTTGGTACAGTAAACAAAAACAAAATTTAGAATCGCCAGGCGGTGCAAAAAATCAGAATGGAAAATACCTTTTGCAATTGAAAGTCAAAATTTGTTGATCGATTCTGCAAAAGGCAGTTGCAATTTGCGTTCTTCAGCACTACCAATATCCTTCCATATGATAAAAATAATACAACGATTATAAAATAGCAAGCAATATCATAAAAATGTATTATTAATTGAATGTTATTTACATATTGTTTCAAGTAGATTACAGTATATGTTCACAGGTGGTCGTCACGGGGTTTGGCCTTTACACAGTCATGCTGGTGGCCTACGCATTCGCTCTTGATTGGCCAAGGAGAGCGGCATGGATGCGGAACACGGCTGCTGGCAAGGTGGGCCTGGCTCCAAAGAAATTCTTGAAAACAAAGAAGCGGCAATTGTTTACGGATATCTATTTGCAAGATGTGGCAATTATTGTATCAGAAACGCCGAATTCAACAACATTCGTTGGGGTCATACAAAATAATTGCGCATTTGTGGGTCTAAACCTAAAGCGTTGTATCATTTTTACTTCTGAATTAATAAATAACATTAGTGTTAATTATTTCAACATTTTTTGAGTAAAATTTACTTCAAAAGTAGTAGTAATTTTAGTAATATGTTACATAGGACCGCGAGATGTGTTGCACCCTTTCTGAATGTACTGCAAACGGCGCTTCTTATCCACAATTTTACTTCAGATATCTGACAACTACGTTCCTTTGAAAAGCACGCTACCGCTGCGCCACTGCAGCACTGCAATTGGGGATCCTACGAATAACGTACATTACAATTGTGCCTATTACGAATTCTATGTGCTGATTTATTCCGTAACAAAGAATCATTTCTAAGGCAATAATTGTTTCCCCTTCTAATGGTCGCCTTTGCGTTGAAGCCTTGAATGAAATAGCGCAGTTCCACAGGTGCTGAACAACTTCAACTACTTTTGGTATACGCACCACCTCTTCGCCATATTTTACGTCATGCTCTTGATACACCCCCAGCCAGGGCTTCCCGACGAGAGGAACGAATGGGGAAAGAGCGACTACTGGGTATGGGGAGGTGAGGTCGAGGCCGCGGGCAGTGCAACACATCGGAGCGCCTTGCAAAATGATGAAGTAGATGGCTTACTGCTCACCACATCATAGCAATTACGAATCGAAACACATGGATTTGTGCATGCGCATCATACCCTGCATTTAATTTCATGAGCATCAAAAGGAATCAAATTGCGTGCTTTGCATGTACTCAGATGTCAATGGCTATACAGCAATGTTGGAAACGTCAAATACACAATCTGATCCAATTTTTCGCATTTCCTGCACGGTTAGAAACTGTGGAAAATAGACAGTTTTTTGAACCATATTTTATATTCCCATCCACAGAATTATCTCTTTGATAAGAGTTGAAAATGCTCCTGGCCAGCACGGTTTTCCTCGAAGATATCGAGGATACCGCAGTCGCCATACAACCACCGTTTATGAAGATATGTAATCTCTTCCATCACTCCGACGATTGTTACCATTTCTTATAACTTAAAATTGAAACATGCAATGTTATTTCAATCACATAAAACAGTAACCGAACACGTTAACCTGCCTTTCTCATCAGTTGGAAAACGCCACGCAACTGCACGCCACTCGCCTACGCCATAGCAGCCATTTGGAGCCATCCCAATCATTAGATGGCGCTACACTGTGTCAACAAGGCGTCGCGGTCGGCGTCCTCAATACGGCGCTTTGAGTGTACATGTCAATTTAAATATCAATGCTAATGTCCAATGTTTAATACTCGATGTCAATTTTCTTGTTCCTATTTTTTTCGCCCGAAATCGACTTCCGGATCCGCGCCCTTACCCAGGCGTCCCCATATCCATCTACATCATCGAGAGGTTTCTCCGCCTCTACCGCCAGACGCTGCGCAAGACCAAGGTCCTGTACGCGGAGGCCCTGCCTGGCGGCGTCCTGACCACCTACGTCTCCCGGCCCAAGCGCTTTAACTACAAGCCTGGCATGTACGTCTTCATAAACTGCCAGAAGATCTCCCGTTTCGAGTGGCACCCCTACTCCATCACCTCCGCGCCCGGGGACGCCTACATCCGCCTCCACGTCGCCTCCCTTGGCGACTGGTCCACAGCCGTGCACGACCTATACAGCAGCCAGGAGGTCCAGAACATGATACGAGAGTCGCCCCTGGCCAGGACCGTCTCGCCCACGATCATGCAACTGTCGGAGGCTGTCGGAGACGTGTCGGAGCCGGCGATGCCCCACGGCGCTTCTGCGGGCACCCTTCGTGGCGACGCCACGGCGTCTTTCGAAGTTGGGGACTCTACGGCGCCCGAATCCACGGTTGGCGATTCCAGGATACATGACTATGCCGTGGTCGATTCTGCGGTGGGCGGTTGCACGGTGGGAGATTCTACGTTGGGATATTCCACGAGGGATATGGGATATTCCACGATGGGGGATTCCACGAGGGGGAGGATCCCTAACGATCTGCAGATCCTGGTGGACGGGCCGTACGGCGCCCCGGTGCAGAACCAGGAGCAGTACAGGGTGCTGTGCCTGGTGGGAGCAGGCATCGGCATAACGCCCTTCGCGTCCATGCTGCGGCACGTCATGCACCAGTTCAACGACCACCGCTGCTCCCACTGCGGCAAGGTACCCGTCGCCTCTGATGCGCCGCTTCTGCGCGCGTTGACAGCAAACAGACGGCCCATAATTTATGGAGTATGGAGTTAGAGTAGAAGAAAGATTTGAGAATTCACTAGCCGAAAGATGCGTTACAGTGGCTAGATATTCACTTCAATTATTAGTTTTGGTGCACAGATCTGTGTGTTTCCGATAAATATCCTGGCGATCTAAATGTCCAGAAACACATTTGTGAATCGGCAAAGGCACTTGCACCCACCAGCTGTCTTCGAGGTGAGCTGCACGAATTGGTATTATATATTTGGGCGCCTATCTGGTGAAAGACTGTACATGTATTTGCACTGTTTGCGCTTGTGCGAAAATCGGTCACGGGAGAGGAAAAGTTGAAATACTGGAAAACAGCTGCATATATTCAGCCCGAACTTTGAGAGCAGATGCAATCTGGCCCAATTTGATTTTCATGGATCTCAAGTCTGCTCGGACTGGCATTGGATGATTCACTGCAAACGAAAACTGCGACACAGAAGAGGCGCACTGAAGATGGCTGAAGTAAGTCGCGTGTTTGGCATCCCAATCTTGAGCAGGCTTTTTCCAAAATATTTTTCCAGTCTTGCTGCTCCACTCTCACAACAAACAACGTCATTGGAAACGATGGGAGCGGGAAAAAATTCTACTCCATTCAGATTTTCTGGCCTTTTACCAGAGCCCCCTGGTGGGGCACTTATCTTTTGGGCTGTAAGCAATCGTAAAAAGCAATTCAAAAGAAACGTTTATGCCCTATTGACTTACATTTACATGCCGATACCTGGTGTGCCCCTCTCAAGCAGGGCCCGTTGCAACCAGGTTTCCTGCCAGGCGCTAGAAGCTGCAATTTTCTGGCAGTGGTGTAATGACTTGTACAAAATACATCGGGCACCGCATCAGAAGATGTCCCGATACACTTCCAAATATTCGCGATATCATCGATATCTGCATCAATGCCTAATTTTCTGTTAATGTACCTCCTGCGTGCCAGGTTTCTTTCGGACCCAATTTCAGGTTGAGAAAGGTGTACTTCTACTGGGTCGTGAGGGACCCCAAGAGCGCCATTTGGTTCAACAAGGAGCTCCACGCCATCAGCCAGGACGATCACAGCCACATGATAGAAGTCAACATCCACGTGACAGGCGTCCAGAGGCCAACCGACGTCAGAAGCAAGCTGCTGCAGGTGCAACCCTCTGGCCAGATTATTTGGGAAATAATGTGCACAGAATTGGAAAAAACTTGTGAACAGGAAAGTTGAAGATCACACCGGCTCACATGGGGTAGCTGTGTTTTGTCATTTTGTGACAAATGAAATCCATGGATTTTGATGATGATGATGAATGATGGGCTTAAACCACGCATGGCGCCAACGCGACAATACTCCCGGATTGAAACCATTGCACACTACAGAGGCGCAGCTTGCGGCATTACCACAAGAATCAAGAGTGGTAGTTATTCCAAAATAGTACCACCGTTCGTGGATGTCTCCCGAAATGTGTGTTTTATCACTAGGAAAAAAAGAGCCAAATAGCACTTTTGCGAGAACACATAAAACACATTTCATCAAAGTTCTGCACGCTAAGAACACAACAATAACACAAACCGGGAAACTTTGTGCACGTTGGAACACGTGTTATTTGGCCCTTTTTTTCCTAGCGCCTAGCCAGCCTTTCCAGGTGAACCCTTGCGATTCAGGCTGAAATTGATCCACCTCTGTGTTTGATGAAATTCTGGCTCGCGGCAGTTCAATTGGGAGGGTATGAGCTTCCCGCAATGGCACACGAAGGATCGCAGAAGCTTATAAACTCCACCATCGCCGCTTCTGTGCCTTGCATGTCAGAGTGACTGTGCATCGCTATTAGGATTCCGTCGAATCTGATGACGTGATATTAATGACGGGGAACTGACCACTCTAATCTGCGCAGTTGGCCCAAATCCTCTATCACAAGGACACGGGGATCGACATCATCACTGGGGTAGCAGCCACGACTCTGACGAAGTTTGGCAGGCCGAATTGGCAGAGCGTCTTCAACGCAATGAAAGCCAAGCACCCCAAGACCACCGTGGGCGTTCTCTTCTGCGGGGCGCCACTCCTGGGAAAGGTCCTCAGAAAACTGTGCATAAAATTCAGCCAGGGCTCCAAAACAAAATTCGAGTTTGTATCTGAGAAATTCTAGAACGAATGCGCAGAGTCAGGCATGGCCTGATCTTGAATGTTGCCAGCAGTGGGTTCAAAGCCTCTGCCGATTTTTTGGAAGCCATGGTGCTTAGCGTTGAGCAAGAGAGCGCAAAGATGTAAAGTTTAGGTAATAGGCTGCATGCCTGTCAATTTGTGTATGAATTGGAAGGGTGGAACTTCTAATTGGGAATATGAGTTTGAGACGACGTTATGGTGACACCGGACTGCATACATGGGTTTTGTGTCCGTAGTTAAGAATTTTCTGAGAATGTGTCCAAAGGAATGAAGGGAGGCTGCAAGGAATGTCCACGGACTCCAAGTTAAGAGACATTCATTTTAATCCATGAAAGCCTTGCAATACAAACTTGAGAAGAATTAAGTCGTTTTGGACACTTTCGATTCCATATTATAGTGACCAAAATTTTTACTAAATAAGAACGATCGAGTTGGTGGGTAGGTCCTCTCAGTTTGTATAAATGCAGCACATCATCCAGTCGAAATAGAATCGTTATGCACACTGTGCAGCCTGAAAGCTGAGTTATCGAATTGTGAATCGTTCGAATATCGAAAACACTTCCTGTTGTAGATTCATCCACCGTTCGTTTCGAAAGATTTTTACTGCCGTAAATTTGTGAAACAGATTCATGCACATACGGCTGCACAACATTTTCAAACTATAGGTTGCCCATACAAGCCTGAAATATGTCCTAACGTGGATGCATGAGTGTAATACTGACAACCCACGCAAACCCACCCCACCTGCGTCCACCACACGTGGGGTGGGGAATACGCCCCACGCATACACATACACTCATTCGCTCAATTCCTTACACGCTCATTCCATCACTTTTTCATCAACACCATCGTCATCATTGTCATCACCATAATTTCTTGTAGAACAAGGCAATGAGATAGCTGTCAGCTTCCTATTTTGCGCAAGGCAAGCAGTGTATATGGTCGGTTCATTGAAATCTAATGTAGACACAAACAATGTCCATGAATTTTTAATTCCTAATGCCAGGAAGCGACTGTCGATGATCATACATCGAAATGAAATTCCTCGCCAGCTGGCGAGCATGAACCGAAGCAAAAATATTCTTGCGTTATGAAATCGAAAAATACAATACTGGCTTCGACGGGTATTGTCATAGGCCTGGCAGAGGAAGAGAAAGTGGACCTCGTCTTCTGGAGCCAAGCGACGTGAAGGACACTCTCATTGAAAACTCTGGAATGGATTGCCGCGCTTGGTGTCGTTGTTGCTCAATTTCTAGAAAGCGCACCCCACAATTAAATCGCAGGCAAAATGCTTTCAAGGAAATAAGCTGTAATGACGACAGGAATCGTTCGTATCGGTGGACTCGCTTGATGTGTCACCATCGCTGAATCTTTGAATATTGGCTGGAGAAGACACTGGCAATGTGGGCGTGCTTGTAGATCCGTTGAAAGGAACGCACGTCAAGTGATGTAGCCTCCGTTGAAGTGATAACAGCCAGAATCGATGGGAAAAGGCAGCGACGCGCTCACACCGCGCTCGAGGGTTGGCCGAGAATCGTTGAACCCGGATGCGAAAATGGTGCCATGAGCGCGATAGTTGGGAAGTTCCACCATTCATTCCAGTATCCCATCAACTGTCTTCGTAAGCAAAATTCCAAAGGAAGTGCTCCCATTTCGGCATAAACAATCCCCAGTGGCGCGTGCCCAGGGAGGCAAATAACTGGGCGTAAGAATTGACTTTGGGCCCTCTCCGACTGACTCCATTGAGTCTTCGTGAGAATGGGACCCCAAATAGGACAGGCGCATCCAACTGAGCTCAGAACATAGGTTCTGAATAAGTTGTATGCAATTTCTGGATCCGTGATGCAAAAGAACACGTGTCCTTTGTCCATTGTCTATCGCTTGTCCACCCCTTACTCCATCGATCAGTCAATAAAAAAAGTCAACCAGTAAAACCACCATCAAGAAATTTCCAATATTTGGTAATGGTGTAGTCGCCAGCTTTTCTACATAGGAGCTGGTGGCTACCTTATCGCGCGATAGTTGTCACTATAGTTCAGCTGTGTCCATAAATTTTCAGTGAGTTCACAGCATATTCCCGCGATCTATTCAACCGTTGAGTTGTATCCGTTGAAATCAAGAAATTGATTAAATCTAAATATATGAATTAATCGATAAATCAATCACAGCAGTAGAAGATTCGCTGCAATCTGTCTCTTTAAGTATCTGTCTCTCTGTAACTTCACATTCCTTTGTTATTAACTGTATCTTAACAGACGGCGCCGATGATTGACTATAGGAGACCCGCTATCTGCGAATTCGATCAGCTGCGACGATCAGCGCCAGAGGTGCCCTTAGTGCGACGCCCTTTGTCGTCTGCAATTTCAAGGTGAATGAACTGAGGCGTGACTTCAGCGAGCAGGCCAGAAAACCATAGGAACAAAGTTTCAAATAAATCACGGGTTGCGTCAATGCACTCGATAGTACGCTGGATAAGACACTATGTGTGATCATTTGGAAAATTGGGGACCGTTGTTTTCATCGCGACTTCTTGGATCCTCGGCAAGCAAGCAATTGATGTTGTCTATCTGGGGCGAAACTGGCAAGTGAAGCCCATGCGCTTGCCTTGGTCAGTGTTGCGCCTTGAATTCAAGTGAACCGCCTTCCACCAAATTATTTCTGCCTGTCTCTGCTACATTTCTTCGACTTGATGGGATTCGTGCTTTACATCACCCAGCCTCGTCCAACCCACCACCCGCCAACAGCCCACAACAATCCAACATCGTCGAAACGCCCTCGCTCGAGCGCCGTTCAACCAGGCCCGCCAACAGAAAATAGCCCTCTTGACTCCGCCACCCTTCACTGCAACCACCGACCACGCCACGCTGACGCAACACGAAGCTCGGGTGTGCGGCCTCCCACCCATACCCCGCCTAAACGTCGGGAGGGAAAGGAGGGATGCAGGCTCGACTGCCTGCAATTCGCGAACCTTGCCCTTCACTGCAGAAGGCCGTTTTCTCCGTGCGAGTTGATGAGAAACACCATGAGGGTGGCGACGGTCGCGCCGGCCTGAATGTCTGCTAGGTTCTTGGAGAACTGTATGACCGTGTCGTTGAAGGCGTCCTTGGAGCACCGCCTCTTCATGAGCCTGTACATGAACACGATCCAGGTAGCGCTTATTGAGGCGTCGGCCAGCGCGCAGGCCCACAGGTCTCCCAGCTCGGTGCCGCGCTCGACGTACCCCGTGGCGTCCACGGCGCCCCGGTTTCGGGACGCCCGGACGACGGACAGCACGACCGAGAACACCAGCGCGGCCATGAACCTGGTGTAGTACTTCAGCAGCACGGGCCGCGGCTTGATCGGGTTCTGCGCCCAGCCGAAGATGGTCTGCATGTACTGGGAGGTGCGCAGGTAGCCCGCGCTGCTCCACAGGGACCATATGGGGCCCACGGCAAACATGCAGGCCGTGTCGGCGGCCAGGACGACGAGGTAGAACTTCCACAGCCTGATCTCGAGGGAGAAGAATACCAGGATGTTGTACGTGCAGAGGGAGAACGTGTACGTGAGCAGGCCCTGCGACACCACGGAGAACTCCAGCGACGTGTTGGGCAGGGCCTCCTGCACGTCCGTCGTGAGACGGGTGAATATGGGCGGCAGGATGAGCATGAGCATGTACCCCATCCGGGGCCCACGCGCGTTGGCCGTGTTCAGCATCTTGAGCAGGTTCATGGCCATGGAGAAGGCCAGTAGCAGCGAGATCGATATGGCCAGCTGGCCCTTGGTGCCCCGGCCCTCCTGCCTGGGCAGCGTGAAGTAAACCCCAGTGCAGACCGAAACGTCCACCAGTGCGCCGGTTAAACTGACCCCGAAGGACGCGAGCCCGCCCATGGCGGCGCACAGGCCCACGTGGGCCATTGGGGCCACCACGGCGGCCGCCGCCACGGTTACGTAACGGTACTCGAGTGTCGTGCCGAAATACGCCTCGAACCACAGCATGGCGTAGAAGCTCTTGCCCAGTCCCCAGAAGGCCATGACGCCCAGCGACAGGCCCAGGTGGCTGGCCGGGCCCCCGCCCGCGTCCTCGCGCATGGGAATGGCCAGAGCCACCAGGGGGTAGGCCAGCGGCAGCAGGAGCCAGAGGATGAAGTGGGCGAGGGCCGGCGGGGAGACGCGCGGAATGTCCAGTTTGGACGGGGGCGCGAACCTGGGGAACACGTCCGGGGAGCCGGTGTACCGCGGTATGTCCCCCTGTCGCGCCGTCCACAGCGGCGACAGGGACAGCATGAGGTGCATCAGGTATTTGAAGAGCGAGATGGCAGGCACGTCGCCGTCGTTGTAGAACTCGAGGTGCGCGCTGAAGCCCACTCTGTGTGCTGGTATTCTCGACCCGGATCCTTTGAAGGAGCTTCCCCCCGTGGCCCCCTTCAAGCCGAGCGTGGACCGCATGTCCGGCGAGGACACGGACCTCCCGACTTTCAAGGAGACGCCGAATACTGTGGGCACGCGCCGCGGGTCCTCCTCCTTTCCCGGGACCGGTTTGGACGACGCGCCAGACGCTCGTCGGTGGTCCGAAGCGGCTGCCGGGGAACCCCGGGCTTCAGCGTTGGATTTGGAGTTCCCGCCGGCACTTGAAACGGAAAATGAGATTTCGGAGACGCGCGCCGAGGCGGCTGGACGCCCCTGGTCCTTAGAATTCGGAGACCTGGAGGGCGAGGGCCCGCGGACCTGCGGCAGCACAGAGTTCCCGCGTCATTAATGTTGCAGGTCTTTCGGAGCAGCGCCATTAACATCAACACCGTCCAAATCCATGCTGCGGAAAGTTTAGTTAGTGAGACCCACCCCATGCTCTCGCTGGCATTGATTCTGGCGTCAAAGGCTACCGTGCATCCCCCGTGTTTCAAATATCAGCTTGGAAGGCTGCTCGCCCAGGATGGCCATATCGGCCCGGCGTACGGGGCCGAACAACGCTGCTTCAATGACATCGAGACTGGCTGGGCTCAAGCCCCACGGTCTGTCGACAAATACACCATCTTAGTCGATTTTGCGCGTTTTAATTTTACGTTCAATCGCATTACACAGTAAACGACTTCCAAGGCCGTGCATTTTGGCCATTTTTTACCAGTGGCCCGCGCCCCGAATTCGGCCTCAGTCCCGTGGCCGCGCGGCCGCACGACTGGACCACACAGTCTCCACACCTCCTCACCAACACACCCTCCGGACGGCCCCCCGCCGGACCCGGCTCCCTCGCCCTCCCCGACACCGGGGTCCGCCCTCCGGCTGGACGCCAGCTGACTGGCCAGCTCCTCCGCCTGCCTCTTGTAGAACGCCGCCAGCTCCGAGGGGTCGCTCGTGGGAGGCGGGCTCTGGAAGAGGGCGTTCACGTGAACCTTCACGGCGTCAGGCTTAGCCCCGGCATCCTTTTCTGTCTCTCTCTTTTCTGTGCGAATGTAGGAGGGCTCCACGCCACGGGAGTGCGTATGGTCTCTGGACTCATTCCGGGACCCCTCCTCGTCTGTGCGAGGCCTGGGCTGGCTGCGCCTTGGTGTCCTTGGCGTCGAGCGCGACATGGGCCGGGAGCCAGGCGGAGGGCTTGAGATGCGCGGATGTCAGCGGCCGAATGCGCTGCTCCTGCTGGGAATGGGCAGTGTTTGATTCAAAGATTGTCGCAAGCATGTTGTGCATGTGTTGTTGTGTGTGATATGTTTGTCTGTTATAAGTCGAGGATGTTCATGGCCATAAAGGGAGCGGCGTGACGGCGGAGTGCAGGTACGGACGCGCTGCATGCCCTGACTTTGGGCAAAACTGCGCTGAGAATGGCAGGTGACTGAATCTGAAAATGACTACTTTTCGAGCTGCCATCAGCCGCACCGCGTCGACCGCGGCCACAACGAATATCGGACGGAGAGCAATTTTTCGTGCGCCGGGCTGTCTCGCTTGCAAATGGAGCAGATAGGCCAGCAAAATGCGAAGTCAGGCGATGCCGGCTGCATTGCCGCTTTGCACTAGTTGTTGACGCCACGGCCACCTTTAGGGCGTCCAATCACTGCTATGGTGCCACTGCTGCGATGGAGTCAATTTGGCATCGCGTCGCTTTGATTTTTCTCTCAGCGACACTACTTGTTCATTGCTGGCATCGCGTTCATTCTCTGAAAGAAGGTGCACGAGATTGGCGGAAGCAAGACAAACACAGAAGAAGATGCTGGGAATGCAATGCGCAAAGTTAACTCATTTTGAATGGCAACGAAATAGCACTGGCTTCAACTTCCCAACATATCTCCAGAGCGCTGAGGAGTTGATTATCGGGTGCAGGAAAGAAATCTATCCCCTATTGAATTTTGTTTACCACTGCGTGAGCGCAACCGCTGGGCACTCAAGCTTGGATCAGGTCACTGGCGCTTTCACAGTCGCGGTTTCCAACCCTCTAATGGTATTGTAATATTTTCCCTTGAAACACTCGAGATATCGCTCTTAGGGGAGGATGGAATATCATTCGCCAAAGAGCCTCCCAGGCCCGGAATACGCGTCCTTGGATGCATGCTTGCCATGCATCTGGAGCAAAAAGAATAGTTGCGATGTGCAGCAACAATCACTACGACTCATAGTGACTGCAACAGAAAGCAACCAACCAGGCTATTTTGTCAGGAGAGGAAGAGCGGGTTTCCGCTGGGACTGCAAAACAGCCTGATTGGAGTGGCCTCAAAGAAAAGGAGCTGTGAAATTATGAGCAAGCATCCATGCTGCATGTACCTCATTCACCTTGAGTGACATCTCCAACCAAACCCGCAAGCAAAGGCCCATACGTGAGCGCGAGGGAAACCGCGGGGTCTCTTTTCTGTTTACTCCAGAAGCAGTGGCAGATGCCAACGCAAAACCGGGACGACCGCACGAAACACGAAGGCAATATACATAATGCGGACCTCAAACCGCCGCAGCACACATTAGTAGAAAAAGGACGAAATGACACTTTTGCGATTACATCTAAAACACGTAAATGTGTTTTATACGTAATCGCAAAAGTATCATTTCATGAAATTTCATTGAAGTTCTGCACACTAAGAGCACACAAATAACACAAACCCGTAAATTTGTACACGTTTGAATGCATGTTATTTGGCCCTTTTTCCCCTAGTGGCTGAGATGTTTGCCGCGCCAAAAACTGCGTGACCCCAACGTCGCATCCAGCGCAGCTGCGACATCTGCCGCCCTGTCCACCGTCAACATTTACCGCCGCAATCACTTGTGAAAGCGCATAGAGACCGTTTCTTGGGCGAAACAGAGCGCCGGCGGCTACCTCTTTGCCACAGCATGTGAGCAAATTTTGCGCGACTGGTCGACTCGATGATTCCTCGAACTGCTCCACCAGATTTCAGCAGTCGCGGCGATCGAGAAAAGCTGACATCATCATCGCCATTCGCTTTTACATGACGAAGCAAGGCAGTAAGTAGCCTTCAGCTTCCTCTGTCGCACGACCAAGGCAGCGTTCATTGTCAGTTAATCGGAACCTTACGTAATACACAAACAAAGTGGAAAGCTGAGAAAACTGCCGCAACCGCCGGGGACCTCGTAAACGCGTTGATATCAAGCCATGCACCAGGCGAGGGCACAGCGCCGGTTCGCTTTCCCAAAGATGGCCCCCTCCCCGGCAAAACTCTCCCCACCCACTCCGCCACCGCTGGCACTTGCCTCTTTTCTTCACCAACGGGCACGAGAGGCCCCGGTATCCCAAAGACGTGCCGCCGGACGCCTGCGCCGCCAATCCGCTCCTCCTGACAGTGCGAGTCTGTCCCGTGGGCCAGGCGTCTTCGATTGACCGGCTGACCCAAGAGCCGGCTCTTTGCGCCAGGGAAGGGCCTCCGCCGCAGACAGGGCAGCGCTGGGAACGGGGCGCCCAGGGCGCAGCTTCGCGGAAGGTGTAATGCGGGAATCTGAATGTGATCAAGGGGGGTTCGCGGATGGCGTTTGGTGCCGCCCTCTGCGGCTGGCTCCGTTTTGAGTGCCATGGTTGACACTGAAATGCTTTGCTTAAAACTGCCTTCGACGAGACAAAACGGCGCCCTTGCACCTCGTAGGCGGTTCCAGATGTGTATGCATACATCCATGCAGCGCTTGTGCGTCCCTTCTCTATTAATTTGTCTTGGGGTGGTGGTGGTGGTGGGTGGTGGTGGGGGGTCCGCATTGCCCCGCGGAGCCCGCCGCGGCCGGGTTGGAGGGGGGCGGCGCATAGCCGCAGAATTGCGCGCCAGGACCTGCAGGCCTCCCGTGTGGTTGTTCATTGCGTCATGGTTGACGCTCCCAGCCATGGGCAAGTTGGATCAGGGCAGGGCCTCGCGAGGGTCTGTGGTCGTAGATTTATTGTGGCTTAAAATTTAGAACTCCACTTCGACCGCAGCGGCCACGCTATGCCCCAGATTTCTGCACGATATTAGTAACATCATGCATACTAGTAGGACGCATAGGTACTAGCAGGTACTCGCGTAGGTACTAATATCATCGGTCCTAATAGGACGGATCCGTCCGCAGGCACGCATGCCAAGTGACGGGCATGAGGCGCAGACTTCCCGGGCATGGGTGGCAATGGTGGCGGTATGGAATGTGCAAGACCTATCAAAGCAAAGAGAGAATTAAGATGGGGTGTACTGCCGATTTGCATGGTCTTTGTAGGGTTTCATCTGTGGTCTGGCCACCAGACACTGGTGCCTATTGAAGGGCGGCATCCTGCAAGAAAATTTTCGTTCGATTTTGTGCCATGCTGCAAGGAGATGATGCAGAGTCCCGAGTGCAAGATGGGGAACGATAAGCGTGCGCTGAACATGGCATGGTGTCGGAAAAATGTTGCGAAAGTGTGCGTGGGGTACAAGCGAAGGCGAACTCGGCAGTGTTGATTCAGTACTTGGCAAAATACACAACGGAGAAAATGCCCGGAATGTGGCTGGAATACAGTCTGGATACTGCACACTGCATTGCTCATGGGTGTCTAGCATGAAAGGGTAAAAATTATTTTTTGCTCAACAAATGAATAGTTTTCATAATTTATAGTGCACCATTGAACATATGCATGATCGATATGAGAGAAACGTACAAATTCATCGACTGAATAGTGGGGACATTGCCAGAACATTGGGAAGCTCAGCGAGGCACGTGCCATAATATTGAACTCAACTGAATTACTTGCAACCGAAAACAGCGGCAAATATTCAAGCCACGTGTCACGTTATGCATTCTCGACAGTCAGACCGAGGAACACACACTATCAGAAAACCCAATGTTTGCGTTGCCAACTGCGATACCGTTTGACACAAAGTCGCGCCATCACAGTAATTGAGATGGCACAAAAGTGGACGTAATTCCATCAGTTAGCGTCAAATGGCATCGCAGCCGGCATCGCAAGAGTATCGGTTTTCGCTGGTGGCATTGTGCTAAGCATCCTTTTGGTTATATTTGATGCA